TTGCCATGATGGGGATAGTCAGCCTTTTCCACATATGACCATTGACAGATTCCCCAAGCAAGGGCAGTGACTGGTTCCTTGGTCTGCAACAAGGTGAATACTGGCAACTGTGCACAAAATGAAATGTTCCAACAGTGACATACAAAGCTCTAGATGCAGCACAGGCTGACAGCACAGATCATTTGCAGTCATGAGGAGGGGATTAAAAAAACACCCCAAAAAACAAAACACCCAAAGATGGGGGGGGGGGGGGGAAATGCAAATGACCTTTTCAAATAATAATGATGATGATGATAATGATAATAATGAAGAGACCAAGAGAAGAGATGATCCAGACAGCATGACAGCCACTTGCTGTTTAAGGCCATTGATTTCCTGTGGGATAGTTGGGCACTGTGGGATACTCTGGCAGGCTGTTTCCAGAAAAATTATTGTACTGAGCTTCCCTGCTCGGGGGGTCCTTCCAAGCGCCACTGTTCCACTCATCCTGGGCTTTCTGAAAGCTTCCACCACCTCCTCGGTAGATTTTATGCACCTAAGGGATAATCAACAAGGCAAAGGAGAATTAGCAGAAGGCATCCAGCTTCCCTTCTGACAGTTGTCTCAGTCACTTTGTTAATGCCTAAAATCAACGTGTCACATCTAGCACTGACCCACATATCTGACAGTAAGAATCCACAGTTTAAACAGCAGAAACAAGACCACACAAAGACACTAAAAAGAATATTGCAACAAAGGGCAGAGAAGCAGTAAGTTAAGATCTACACGTGGTATTCTTACTCAGTGCAGCCTCCAGACTAACTCAGGCTGGGGCATTACACAGGAATCATTTAAATAACAAGGCATTCGAACTAGGTCAGGCTACCTATAATTCAGTAATATTGAAACTGCTGCTTGGGCAAAACTGAGCCCAACAAGACTAGGGCGCATCACAGGAGAGCTATCTAGGTTGGTGTGCACAGGTGTGGGAAGGAACATGACTGAGAAATCACTCTGCCATAATGCCAGTTAGTGTGCGAGGGGAGCAGCATTAGCCACGACCTCCAAGAGAGCTGTATGCTTCCATACGCCAGAAGTAAGCCAAAGTATTGTGTTTGACGAGACAGCTCTAGACTCTAAAACCGACCTCTCCCTCTAGTTTTTTACTCTCACAAAGCTCAGAATAATTCTACAGCAGGCTCTGCGGTGGTATTACTTATGACAGTCTCCCTCCATCTGTTTCTTTATGGGGTAAACTTTTAAGGACAAAAATACTTCCATGGACTGCCTTCCTTCCCATCACTCCAACGCTTCAAGTGTATGAATCTCAAGAGCTGTCGTTTCTGGAATTTGTGACTGCCCATAAAAAAAATAAAAATAAAAATCCTAGCTGCATCTAGCTATATGTAATTGTATGGGACAGAGGGAACTTCCAGTCTTTGCCCTTTACCTGGATTCATTCTCTAATGAACACAGGCAGCATCTCAACTGACTATACTTGGGCAACTTTAAAGGGAGAGGGTTAGTTCTTACGAGGCCGTTCAACTGATGATTCATTTTGTTGAGCAAGGAATTGAAGTGGCAATTTTAGGGATTCCTTTGGTCAACTATAGCCTGAAAATGCAGGGACTGGACTCTGTGGACCAAGAGGCCCTTTCTAGATCCAAAGCACAAACAGATGCTTCAAGGCAGAAAGGAACCAAAAGCACCTACCTTTAGGAGACAGAAGAACATTGCAACCGCACACATTGTAAACATGATGGCAGGAAACAGCATGAACACAGCAGCTGCAACGTTGGTACTGAAAAAAGTAGCTGCTGCTAACCATCCGCTGGAAAAAAGTGAAAAGGAGAGGGCATTACTGCAGTGTCTGTTTTCAGGCACACAATTGTTACCAAGGAGACTATTCAATCCCACCCTAAAAATGTGCGAGAGAACAATGAGAACAGCAGCCAGAACCAGATGCAGCACAGAGCGATGCTTCCCCAGCACTTTGCTGTTAGCAGACTTCAACCCTGAGCCATCATATCCCCTGCTCTGCTATTTCAAGGCCACTAAAGCTGACCCGTGACACAGCAGGGCCTTAAGGTGTAAACATCGATCCATAAGGGAACCAAATTTATTTTTACTTGTGCAAAGGTAACAGTCTAGTGGAATGAAGCTGGGGCTCAGAATTGGGACCTTCCGAGTCCTACAACTTTGCATCTTTAAAATGATGCTGCTACTATATGCTAGGCTTCAAAAAGCATTGTGGAGATTAGCGTTAAGAAAGAGTCGCAGTATCAAGTGCTGGGTTTCAGTATTATACTAGACTTTCTTCTATTATTTTACAATGGTATTTTCATTCAATTCCTTCATCAGGACTCTAGAGATGGAGGGTTAAATGACCAACTCATTGGGCCTTAAACAGGAAAAGGCTCATTCAATTACCCTCCCCTTATTTAAGGATGACCCTCCTGATTCTTGCCCCGTGGAAGTGAAGTGGCACATGCTGTGTGTACCTGGGGAGGATGTTAAGAAAGGATAATGTGACTTGGTCTCAGCACTTATGCTTCTCAGTGGTTGGGTGTGGAATTGCATTGCAAGTTCAGTATTAGGTGTTTGTTTGCTACGGCACAGCCATATGGAAGGAAAAATAGGCATTTGTGGAGGGCATGCACCCCTGAAAGTACCAAAAGGTGAAGATCATGACTGCATATCATCTTCAGTCTTTACCTGGGGAAGGTCAAAGGAGCTCAGATTACATCCTGGGCCAGACTAGGACCCTTTAATTTTCCAATCTCCTTTCCTACCCCTCACCCCATCTCTCACAATCTCCATCCCCCTAAACATTAAATGGCATTTAACACATGAAAATGCAAGACAGGCTAAATATTCAGGACAGAATCTCTGCAACAAATACCCTGTACAAGACAGACAGACCAAGTGCTCAACAAGAGACCCTGGGAGCATTCCACTTACCACGCTCCCCATCTAGAGATACCAATCGCTTGTATGAAGGTGAGAATAAACTGGGCGCCAAAGATGAAGAAAAAGGCCATAAAATTAAAGGAGCTGTCGGACCTGTGAAGTGAAGGAGAAAGTTATGAGAAACACATGAGCTTTATCACCTTGTACTGTCCCAGGCTATGCTGTTTGTGACCCCTGCCATGCAAGCACGGACTATTGTGGTCATCAGATCCCTGTATGATTCTGCACTTTGAGGACCACCCCTCCAGTGATGACAGCACATGAATCTGTGTAATCTTAATCCCTCCTAGTAAACCTGGGTCTTGCAGTTGATCTGACAGTAATTATACTTATGACGGCATGCCGAGAGGTGTGGCTTACCACTAATAACCTGCAGCCTCACATGGAAGAAAAAGCACTTGCACCATTAACTGAATGTCTGAATTCAGTGCTGCCCAATCCTGGGTGTAAGCACAAGACCATGACAACACATGGGCATAAGCACAGGCTACCAGAAAGATGATGATTGCATCTATTGTGATTACACACAGAATGAGAAGCCCAGCTGGGAATGCCTCAGTGGCTGTTTGTCGTCATTTTACGTACCTGTGGTTAAGAAGATGAACTACGATAATCTGACCCTAGGATGGATTAGGAAGAAAAATAGCTCTGGCATCCACGTAAGAAGAACATTTGGGCCCCCTGAGCTGGGTGGAAGATTGCCTGGGGAGGGTGCGTGTGCAACGTGCAGTATAAATATACTTCCAAGGGAGGCCAGCAGCTCTCAGAACTAGATGTGCTCAAGGCCTCTGAGCTGATCTATCAGAGATCTGACCCAAACAAAATGTCACATTAGCAGAGCCTCTACCATCAAATATGTACTTTCTTCTAACAACACCTCCCCTAATTATCCATCCTTTGGCAGGGGACACTTTCACTGCAAGCCTAGCTAAGCTCTGAGCCCTCTCATATCTTGGGGGGGCTATTACTTTTAACTGTGCAAATGAATGTCATCACATTCATTTAAATACAGAAGCTGGGAGGGTTTATGACCTATGGAAAGACTTATGAAGGGAACTCAATAGAAAGAACCAAGACAGAGGCAGACAGGTGCAATGGGGAATTTATAATAGGGCCAGTGTCAGATTCCCAACTCCCACTGAAAGCAAATGGAAGTTAGGGGCCATGGGGAATTGTATGCTCAAACATCTTGGGTGCCTAAGTACTTCTTGCAAATCAGGCCTCTGGCAGCTGAAGCAGAAGACTGGGAGTCAGGAAAATGGTTCTTGACTTGCTAAATGTCACAGATATTCTGGCTGATTGAGTAACCTGGAAGCTCTTAGGATGGATTCTCACTTGCAGTGCACTTTATGCAGTCATTTACACCTGTGCCATGTGGGTGTAAATAGAGGATAAATGATTATACAAGGTAGATTCATAGATGTAGGGTCAGAAGGGACCTTGTAGATCTTCTAGTCTGACCCCCTGCCCTGGGCAGGAGAGAAAGCTGGGCTCAAATGACCCCAGCTAGTTAAACGGCAAGCCTTCTCTTAAAGACCCCCAGGGTAGGAGCCAGCACCACTTCCCTTGGAAGTTGGTTCCAGATCCCAGCTGCCCTGACTGTGAAGTAGTGCCTTCTAATGTCTAGTCTGAACCTACTCTCTAACAATTTATGGCCATTATTCCTTGTTACTCCAGGAGGCACTTGGGGGAACAAGGTCTCTCCCAATCCCCACTAGCAAGTATTGAATCCCATCCTATTTTCATTTGCCCACACCTGTAACCTGTCCAGGTCCTGCTGTAATCTGTCCTTTCCTTCTAGCGTGCCCACCTCACCCCAAACCTTGGTGTCATCTGCAAATTTAAACAGGGTGCTTTTCACCCCATTGTCCAAGTCGCTAATAAAGAAAATGAACAGTGCGGGCCCAAGGACCGAGTCCTGGAGGACTCCACTGCCTACTTCCCTCGAGGTCGAATACAACCCGTCCACCACCACTCTGAGCACGACCCCTCAGCCAATTTGCGACCCATCTGACTGTGTAGGCATCAATGTCACAGTCGCCTAGCTTTTTAATGAGAATGGGGTCGGAGACAGTGTCAAAGGCCTTGCTGAAGTCCAGAAAGACTAAATCCACCGCAACACCTGCATCCAATGATTTTGTGACCTGATCGTAGAAGGCAATCAGGTTGGTCTGACAGGACCTGCCCCTAATGAAACCATGCTGGTTGCCCTTGAGCGTTCAGACCTGGCTGACTGCTCCTCCCAGCAGAAGGCAGAGGTCAATGAAGGATCTTGCCCTGATATCCAGTTACCCCAGAGATGTGAAGTAGATTTGGTGACCTACGATTCTTTCAGACATTCAGATCACGGCACATCTATTGCAATAGAAATGATTATTCATTCCAGTACCTAGATTAGCAAAAGGATGATGTCTGAGACTGGACCTTGAGCAACTGGGAACGTGGAAGGATGAAGGAGTCTTCACTTGAGGGGAGGCGGGAGGAAAGCAGCTAGAGGACGTAAGAGGTGGAATTCGGATCCAGCCTTTCACTACAAGTTTGCAACACCTCTGCTGCCCTGCCAAGGCTCCGATTTAATTCAGCTCTGGAAGTGGACATGTGATGAATGCTTTCTGGAAACATCTACCAAGTACATGATTTTAACAACCATGGCTTTAACTTTCTGGGATATGTATGACAAGGAGGCTTGACTTACCTTCCCTCAAGTCAGAGTGGCTGGAATCAGTGGCCGTTTATAGACGTGCTCCAGGAGTTGGTGGGGGGAGTGGGGGAGGGTGCTTTAATGAGAGCAGCTCTGAGAGCCGCTCTAATTAAAGTGCCTGAAGCATCACATGCATCAGCATCCCCATGCTGAAAAATGGCAGCAGGGGTGCTTCAACTAAAGCTTGTTGAATGAGCTTTAGTTAAATCGACTTGCTGCCATTTTTCAGCACAGGGACGCAGAAACATGTGACACAGGAGTCTGCTGGAGCTCAGCAATTGCCACGCTCCAGCAGACTCGATTAAATCGCTGTAATTACAGCACATTGGAGCAGCCTCGCTGCATGTGTATAGGCGCCCAATCTGGCTATGCTACTCCTTTCCAATAATGGATTTCCTCTAATGCCCCTTATTTTAAGTCTGCCCCACAACTAAATGTGACACTAATTGCTTTGTGGTTCATTGGTCTCTCCCTAGGGTCTTGATTACATTCAGAAGTTTGTATATAGGGTACCCGCAGGGGCCTTCCAGCATTCAGTTGCACAAACACATACAAGCAGCATTAAAAAAAATAACTAGGAACTGTCTCCAAGAAGCCCAGAGGAAGACAGTGCGGAGGAGTAATTTTTCCCAGACTCTGGAATGGAAAATGCTCTTTGAACAGAGTTCTGCTACTGACTTGGAATCCCCAGAGGCTCCTGAATTAGGAAAGGGGAAGAAAAACCCAGCACGATACAGCAAAGATTCTCAGATTTCATTTAGTTTAAAAAAAACCTAAAAACAAACCAAATAACCTCAGATGAGTCCAATTCCTTCACTTCCTGTTAAAAATTCTCCTCTCTTGCCTCCTACAATTTAAATTACTTATTGGCTAACATTTTAGTTATTTCCATTGTTAACAGTCACATTATGTTAGTGTTCAAAGCAAGCACCTGAGTATAGATTCAGGACAACACTTGAAATATGCTTAAAATTAAGCACTTGTCTATACTCTTTCTTGATCTTGGGCCCTAAGTGTCCATGTCGACTCCATTCAGTTGCTTCTACTTTTTAAGAATTACCATATTTTCTTGCATGCAACATACCCTGGAATAAGACATGCATTTTGTTTTTGAAAGGCACTATGAAGGAAAAAAAAAGATCTTTCCTTGTTGTAGATCTGGGGTGGGCAATTATTTCGGGCAGAGGGTCACTTACTGAGTTTTGGCAAGCCATCGAGGGCCACATGACAGGCAGCCAGGGGCAGATAAATATTCATTTTCTAAACTTTTTAGGGGTCCCGCGGGCTGGACAGACTGACCTGGCAGGCTGCATCCAGCCTGTGGGCCACATTTTGTCCACCCCTGTTGCAGATGAAGAGCCACAGCTATGGAGTGAAGTCTCCTCATTGCTCTACACCTTGTGAACTGGGTGCAGACTTTACTCTCACCCAGCCAAAGCTTAAGCAGTAAAAGCTGCTATTGCCATATTTCTTCACATATGATGTCCAATATCCAACTGCTGGTTTGGGGAGGGGAAAGTGCATGTTGGGTGCCAGAAAATAAGGAAAGTCTCTCACGAGGGACAAGATGATCATTCAAAAAATAAATTAAAAAAAAAAAATCTGAAAGTACTTTGGTGTTGGGAGGGTAGCAGAGTGCAGGCAGTCTACAGAAGAGGGGTGCTGGGTGCCTGGGTTCTGGTGTCAACTTTGAAAGCAACTCACCATGCGAGATTGGGCAAGTTGGTTCCCTCCATTTTGCATAGAGGAAATCAAGAGCCCCTGGGAGAGAGGTTGTGAGGCACTGGACATTAATACTTTCAAAATGCTTTGCAAATCCCATTAGGTGCTACAGAAATGCAAGGCATGATTAATTTTTAAACCAAATTAATAATGTAGGAGGAGTTTAAATATTTGTGCAGCTGGAGAAGGGCTTGAGTCTACTGAGCTGCTTTTAGTTAAAAATAAGAGCAGCTATATGCTGCATTAGAGCTGGAAATGGGAATTTTTAGCAACTTGTCACCAACAGTCTTCCAGGAAAGAACTGGGAGCCATAGATTTCCAACAAGCTTTTAAGAGAATGGCTCCCTTAATGTTAGAGGGATGTAGATGTGTAACTAGCCCCATCGTAGGAAAATTATTTTTTCAAAGTGAAAATAAATGGTTATTTTGATGTGAATATTAAGCTCTCAGAAGGGTGAAACTAATTGGCGCTGCTGGTGACATCAGAAAAGACAAATCAGTCATCAGCAATTCAAATGCTTGTCTCAAGCCATGCCCCTGATACATGAGCCCCGATTTGAAGCAACTCTCCACAAGAGGTCGTTCAGTCTCCATGATCTTTTCGACCCTGATCTGTCTGTGAACGAGAATGCAGCTTGCGTGTCATGTGGTGGTTTTTGTGGGAATGGAGAAGTCTCAATATTCATTTCATTCTTTACTCTGCCTGAACGTTTGCGGTCTGTACCCTTCCTTAACCAAGCCCTGCCCTTTGTCTCTCTTGTGTTTTCATGCTGTAAGCCAGTGGTATTCAACCTTTTTTTCATTTGCAGATCCCTAAACACTTTTGAATGGAGGCGAGAACCCCTTTGAATTTTAAGTGTGGGTATTTACATATTTTTGATTGATCATAGTCATCTTTCGCAGACCCCTTGGACATAATCTATGGACCCCCAGGGGCCAATAGACCACAGATTGAAAACCACTGCTGTAAACAATGCGAGGCACAGACCATCTCTTACTCAATATCTATACAGCACTTACTACAATGGGGTTCCTGTTAGCTGCTACTGTAGAACAAAACAGGTAGGTCAAACAGGCATTGAATGCTAGCAATGCTCCACCACTCTCAGCATGGCTGGATTCAAACTGTACACTCATAGGTGGGAAGGCCTTCATCCTAAGTTGCCGCAAACTAGTCAGACACTTTTAACCAAACGTTTTTGTACCTTAACACTCCATATCTCTTCTCACAGCCCTTACTCTTTGCCCCAGGAGACAGATCCCCTTGTGGTCACTGAATTCCTGATAAAATATATGCTGAAAGAGCCACGCAGAAAAAGAAGAACCACTTACCGAAAGGCTTTGTATACGGGTCGGAACCAGCATATGTAACTGCAAGGGCTGAAGAGAACAAGCCAAAGGATGGCCAAGCCAAAGTTGACAGGATAACCACCAGCAAGCCACCATGCCAGGCAGGCAATAAGATTCACCAATAGCGTGATGCAGTAAACTGTGAAGAGAGAACAGAGAGTGTAGGCAGTGCTGTTTGTTGGCTTCAGAGAAAGACTGAAAGATTGTCCCCGACTAAACCATCCTAGCCAATTGTCTGTTTAATCTGCTCTTGAAAATTTCCACGGATAGAGATTCCACAGCTTCTCAGGGCAGCTTGTTCCAATGCTTGACCACCCTCAGGGTCAGAAAGTCCCTCCTGAACTCCAGCCTAAATTTCCCCTGCTGCAGCTTGAAGCCATTGCTCCTAGTCCTGTCCCCTAGGGCCACAGAGGAAAGCCTGTCTCCATCATCTCTGTAATTGCCCTTGAGGTATCTGAAGGCTTATCAAGTCTCTCCCCTCCACCCTCAGTCTTCCATTCTCCAGATTAAATGAAACCTAGCTCTCTCAACCTTCACTCTTAAGCCTTGCTTCCCAGGCCCCTAATCATTTTTGTTGGACTCTTTCTAACCTATCCACATCCTTTTGAAGTGCAAGGCCCAAAACTAAGCACAGTACTCTGGGTGAGGCTTTGCTAGTGCTGAATAGCGTGGACAAATCACTTCCTGTGATCTGTAAGTGATGCTCCTTTTAATACAGCCAAGGATGCTGTTGACTTTTTTCTTTGCAATACGAGCACACTGTTGGCTCATGTTCAGTTTATGATCTACCCCCAGGCCCTTCTCTGCAGTACTGCAGCCTAGCCAATCATTCCCCAGTCTACATGTGTGCATGCAATTATTCCATTCCAAGTGTAGGACTTCGCACTCATCCTTGTTGAATCTCATCTCATGACAGTTTGGATCCATGCCCTGCCCTTTTAGTGCATCTGTGACTGTCCAACTTTGTGTCATTGCTCCATTTGCTGAGGTTGCACTCAATCCCATCATCCAAATCATTAATGATGGTGTTGAACCATATCAGACCCCGGACAGACCCCTGACGAACCCTGTTTGATACCTCCTCCCAACTAGATATTGAGCCATTGAGGATTACTGACCACAAAGAGCAGTTTATTCTTCCAGGTTATAGACAAAGGGACACGCGGGTTATGTCATGTCAGCTTCCCAGTGGGCCTGATACTAGTAGAAAGATCAAGAAACTCATGTGGGGACACATCACTGGAAAGAGTAATACAACTGATAAGCAAAGGGAGCAGGGAGCAACTGAAGATCAGGTCTGGCTGACTACCGGTACAAATGAAAAGCCTAATTCTTAGTTATACAAAAACCCCTTTGATACCAGTGATGTACAATGGCCTTTGAAAGCCTGGAAATACCCTTGTGAAGAGAAGACCCAAAGCAACTACCCTGGCTAACAGACATAGCAGGGCGTCTCTGCTGGGCCTGTTCCCAGTACAAAAGTAAGGGTGGCTATTGTCTGATGAGAAGCAGACATGGTTATTATCTGCTTCTCAAAACCCAAGGGAAGCAGTGTTGAAATTACTGCACTCCTGAGGCTACTCTAATACAAACCCCAAACGAGCCCAGAAAAAGGAAGCACCGGGCACTGACAGAAGTGACATTTGTCATGTGATCAGCCCCTGAAAGTGCTCTACAGCTGTGCCCTGTCAGAAGTGCATGGCTGCAGAGCACTTTAAAAGTGGCCAATCGCTCAATGAAATTAGCCCCCATCTAATGAGGGCTGAGATGAAGGCACTCCAAAGCAGAGTGCCTTCATTAACTCCTGTCAACCTCTGTGTGCAATCTGGGCTGGGCTGATACAGCCCAGCCCTGTCCCTGGCACCGTTTGCATGATGGGAGGGGGCAAGAGGGAAGGAAGGGAGCTCTGGGCTGGGGTTTGCCCAGACTGAGCTGCACCCGGAGGGGTGGAGTGGAGCCCCACCTTACACCTCTCTTCAGCGCCCTTTCCTTCCAGCTGAGGTTGGGCAAACCCCAGCCCGGATCTCCCTCCCACTTCCCATGCAGCAGACAGCACCAGAGCTGGGGGGAGCGGGGTGGAAGCTAGGACGGCTAGCTTTTCTCTGCTGGATTGTTTCCAAAATGGAGCTCAATCCCCCGCACCAAACAGCAAATGTCTATTGGTTTGAGGGGGCGGGAGGGAAGTGACTTTAACTCATGGTTCTTTCTGTGAAGTGCCATGAGTTAGAGTGGGGGAGCTGCATGCTGTCAGTGCCCACTGAGGTGAATTAAAAGCCACTTGTGGGCCCATTCTTGCCCCTTGGGCAGGAATAGAACAAATAGCACTGAAGTGCTAACATCACTTTAAGCAAAGTTGCTACCCCTCTACATATGAACAAAGATTACTGCTGAGGATAACGCATGCACACTAGGAGGTTCTACACTCTGCAGCTTCTGTATGCTGAGCTCATTCCCTGAGACTTTAGAAATAGAGTGGCAGCACTGAAAAAGAGAGTTAATGTTACATCTCAACAAAAAAATGGCCTCACAAGTTTGGCCAAACATACGCAGTAACCTGCCTTCATCCACCTACCTACCTGCCTGTCCCTCTGGCCACTTGGGGATATTGAGCAATTAAGAAGTTACACGCTGACACACCACACTAGGAAGATAAACAGTTGGGCCTTTTTTAGATGTGTTTTATTCCAACTGCTTATACGTTTAATGGTTGGGTCCGCTTTATTTTAACAAACTCTCTCTCTTTCAATTGCACAGATTTTGCTCCCAAAGCATTTGTTAACAGCTAAAAGGTTAAGAACAACTTTGCTTTAAATGCTCTGGCTCGTAGAGGCCTTAAGATTTAGAAAGGAAAAAAAAGAATCATGTAAATTAATCAGGTAGAATGGGTTAAAACTGTTAACTTGAGATTTTGGAATATTTAGCTTGAGAACTCATGTGGGATATTAAAACAAGCCAATAAAAATGTATTGAACTAACAGTGTCTATAAAGTTGTAAAGCAGAACAAAAGAGTTCATTACATGGCTTCTATAGGAGTTTGTTCTCCGTAGATTCATAGATGTTAGGGTCGGAAGGGACCTCAATAGATCATCGAGTCCGACCCCCTGCATAAGCAGGAAAGA